ATGGGGCAGCACCAGATTAATCTCTGTAAAGTTTACTGGACTTTTGTAACTTTTTATATTTTGTTAGGCATTTGTTAAAAAATTTCAATATAATTTGTTTTACTTGGGTAGTCTTTTTTGTGTAATAATAAATAAAATCATATAACTTACAACCCTAATTTTGTGTTTCTGTGGATTTTTTCCCAAAAACATTTTTAAGGTTTTTGTCACATTTAAAGCACTGCCATGCATCTTGGGTATGGAGGCCGGAATGTGACTAAATGAAATAAATAAGTACAAACATAACAATTAAACGACAGTTAACATAATTTCATGGTGATACACGAGTGTGGAAAGTGACTAAATTAAATAAATAAATAAATCATGAATTAAATAATTTGATCGTGTATTTAATAATTTAACTATATATTTAAAGATTTAATTGTGTAGTTATTATTTAAATTATGCATGTCATTATTATGTATGTATTTATTTATTTATTTCATTTTGTCACATTCCATCCCCCATGCTTGTCTTTCCAGTTTTGTAAATTCATGAAATCTCAAATAATAAATCATAAAAAGTGCATCGTGCCTCGTCTTGTTGTATGGAGGGTAAAATGAAAATGACATTTCATTACTTAATGTCATTATTTAAAAGGTACATTTATTTATTTCATGGGACATTTAATTAATTAATTGTATATTTAATGATTTAATGATGCATTGAACAATTAAATGATATGTTTAATTATTTTATGATTATTAGTATTTATTCATTCAATTTTGTCACATTCCACCCTCCATATTGTTGAGCCATAATTCACTTTTTCAGATTCTGCTTAGAAATATCCGGCCTGCTCAAGTGACTATTTGTTTTTACTCCAACCTCCAATCCTCCTTAATGTTTTTATGCTTGTCAAATCACTTAACAATGACTAATGGAGGGTTTAAGCCTAAAAAAGACTCCAAGGTGGTAATCAGTGTTTTGTCTGCAGAGCATGAAGCAACACGTTCATTTGGAGCTTGTAAAACTTTCTTACAAACATCTGGCAGAAAAAAACTGTTTGTGCCACTTTATCTATCTATCTATCTATCTATCTATCTATCTATCTATCTATCTATCTATCTATCTATCTATCTATCTATCTATC